CCTCCATGTCTTTTGAGAGCTAATACTTCTACGCCGCTATTTGCAAGAAGCGTCGCAGAAGTTCTGCGAAAAGCATGTCCAGTGTATTGAGAAGGATTTTGCAAATTTAAAAATGTGGCAATTTGTGCTGGCCATTTTCCTATGGTATTCTTTCCTACAACTTGATTAGTGCAAAAGCCGTTTCGAATTTTTAAGAATAACTTGTTTGATTTTGCGGTTTTTTGTCGTAGTTCGATATATTTCCTACAAATCTCCAAATAATCCACTCGCTGGTCTTCTTTACCAGTGATGGTGAAACTCCTTTGAATATTGGTTTTTGTATTGGGTATTTTAACAAAAATGAACGTTTCCTGATTATCTATGTCTTGTAAAGTCAAATTACATAATTCCTCCCTTCTGCATGCTCCAGCTACACCAAATATCATGCCTATCTACGAAAAAACAACAAATTAATTCTTTGCATTGTTAAAAACACAGGTAAATTAACTCACTTTCAAAATCAAGTATCTATCATCTGGTGCCTCCATTAGAAACCTGTATAAATCCTCCTTTGTGAAAACTTTAGATTTTTTCGGTGTATGGCCAACGTTTTTTCTTTTCAGAAAGCCAATTAAAGTTGCGTATTTCGAAATGTCAACATTTTCCTTCAGAAAAAGTGTCGCCTTCAGCATGGAATACTCAGCCCATAAGCTTCCAGGTGATTTTAACTTCTGATTTCGGTGTACAAAGTATGCCAAAAGCACTTTCTCCGAAACAGCCCAGTTTTTGTCAACGCACCACTTCTTAAAGATTTCAAAGGTTTTTTCGTACCGTTGCCTTGATTTTTCCGGAATCACAGCGTCAAAACCAATATTCCAAGCATTTTCCAGTTCACTATCACTATTTTCACTCATATTTCTCCTTAAATTTCAAAAAAGCGTATTTGCAGCTTGCAACCGTATTGTTTGAAAGCGAGTTTTGCGTAACTAACACAAATAAACAATTTGAGAAGCACCATAACAACCATACCAACCATTAGAAACAAGTAGTCCAGCCAACTATAATAATAATAATAATTGTTATAGATAATGTGCGGTGGTGGATAACCATGGAAATAAGAGTTGTGATTTTTGGAAGCATTGCAAATACAAAAGTTGCCAATTTTTCATTGGGAACGCGCCTTTATAGGAGGAAGACAATTCTATTTTTGAAAATGTCAATTGGATGCCATTCTATAAATTAAGTTTTTGAACTGGAATAGCCCGATCGTGCATAAAACGTAATAAGTATTTTGGGCGTTAAGTGTCGTTAACCGCCCTCGAATTTCTCGGGCGGTAAACGACACTTACCGCCCTTAATACTTAAATAACTATACACTTGCAATATTCCAACCTCGATTCCAACAAATAACCAGTCAATCTTTTTAAGACCAATTACTATTAAAGAAATTGCTGAATTAGCAATAGAAATAAAAAATAAACATAGTAGTGGGGTGGATGAGATACCAACAAGCATTATAAAAGTGTCTATAGAGAAAGTCAAAACCATACTTTGCTACTTGATTAATAGTTCTTTCAGGAATGGGATATTCACAGACAAACTGAAAGTAGCCTTAATTAAGCCTTTGTATAGGAGGGTGAGTCACTATATTTTGACACCCACATGCAGCCGAAATTACAGGTGATAGGTAAAAAATGTAAATACAAAAGTTGTAGCATTTTATCTGAACCGCCATAATTTTCAATTAGATTGAACAAATGAGCAACGCAAAGTAAAAAAAATTTAATTGCTTCACATGACTGCTGCAACAATTAAAATTGCAGTATATTCATGAGAACAATAAATAAAGCCATCGTACCAAATTTCAGCGCTGTGCGACAATTTTAATTTTATTTGATTTTTTGAAAAATTCCGCGAGACGTGTTCAGGCCAATAAGTCATTGAAAAAAAAATGCGCTGGTGCAATATGAGAGGAATAAATGGGCTGCCGATTATCGAAAACTGTCACCAAATATTTGGCCCTGTTTAGAAATTACAGTGAATGCAAGAAAGGGGTAGTTTTCGATGCAATTTACAACTTCCTCGCACATTAGTCAAGTCCGTGCTCGCTTAATTTTCAAGCAAAAAATTCGAACAAAAAAGTATTCGAGAGTGCATTTCATTAGCAATAATGTGGTATTTAAAAAATTGAAATCGGATTATGCATTTGGCCGCTGTTGCATCAAATGCCTGCAAACAGGTGAAATGTTGATTCAGTGACCTTGAATAAAAACATGCTATTATTCAAGACGCTGCAGAAAAAAAAATATAGATAGAAGGGTGCTGTCGCTGAGTTTTTTATAGCAAAAAACTTCAGCTACAACAATCATTTGAAACTTTTTGCTATTGAACCATCAGAGTTGGGCAGTAGCTAGCTACCAAGTAGTTAAGCTACTTAGCTACTTTTTTGGTAGCTAATAATTTATTCAAGCTACTTTGAAAAAAAAGTAGCTTGTAGCTGTAGCTTTTGGTAATGTGTTTCAAGTATTCATAAGCTACTGTGAAAAGTAGCTAGCTACTAAAACAAACTACTTGAGCTACTTTTGGTAGATAGTTAATGGTTATTTAGGTATTAATGGTGGAAAGTTTCATTTACCGCCCGAGGGTCCTTTAAGTCAAGGATTTCATCAGTCATCCAGCTTTTTTTTCTGACCCTTTATATTGAAATATCCAGTGGCGGCGGTTTGGTCATTGTCGATTTTTGTGTACGAATTGCAATACGATAACATTTCCAAAAAGTTCCGCACGCAGCTGGGTATTTTATGAATGAAATCAGCCATTTTTTTTTACAACTGCATTCCCCTTACCGTTGCCCCGTAGACACAGATTCGCTGGGCTATACTGTTCCTATCAACCAAAGTTAAATTACGATATTTTACCAGTAGATAATTAAAAAAAAGAGGAGTATTTTGACATCATGCTGTCTTGCGAAATTACAATTTTTTTCACCCAACTTTTTACTATTCCCTGAAAATTATTGTACTAACACTTGCGGAGATTTTTTTAACCCATCATGCGGAAAAATTAATTTTCCACACTTGTTAGGCAAACAGCTATTTTCTACAGCTGTGAGGAAAATCAATTTTTCACTACACGTCGTTCGGTGAACGGCAGACTCGTGCGGAAAAATCAATTTTCCGCACTTGTTAGGTATACAGCTATTATAATGTGGAGGGTCTGGTAAAGTTCAAGGCCCCACGGATTTCGTATTTTTTTTTTTTTTTAGTAGGAAGCCTTATTGCTATAGAACAGTTTAGAAGAAAAAAATCGTTGGATGAAGCACTTCCGAAATTAGAAAACGCATGGGGTTCATCACACTATCCGGAAACACGAATTTGACATTTTTTGAAGCTTTTACATTAAAATAGACAACTCAAATAATAGTTTTATGAAAAAAAAATGCGGGTTTTTTCATTTTTCTGCAAGAAAATTCAGTTCAAACTGACGGAAATTGACCATTTTATAAATCGAATACGACATTAAACGAAATAAAAATGCAAGGTGCAATCAACGTTGCCACATTGTGTGATATCTCCTGAACTTAAATAATAATATACATAAAAAAAACCATAGTCATAGTTTCTTAAGAGGTTTTATTTATATTTCTTACTAATAAGTTGCATTAACCATTTGTATCTATCTATACACATTATAATATAAAAAAGGAAAAGTTGAATTAAGAACCACTAAAACTAAACAAAGCAAACTTCCTTAGGGAACAAAATATGTAATTAATCAACTTAATAATCCTATAAAAAACCATTTAATATTTTTATCCAATTTGCAATGTTAAGTTATACATTCGTTGGATGGCATTTTTGCCATATATCTGCTTCCACATACCTATATTGGTCAATATATTGTGGCAAATATTTTGAATGCATAACACCCATAGCTCTGAGATATTTTTTCAAGCGACCAATACCCTTCCACTGGTTGGTACAGACCTCTGTAATGGGATCTTTGAAATATTTGGTATGGTTTACTGTACTGTTCGGTGGACGTAATCATAGTCTACTAATCCAGAATAAGCGCGTCAATTGCCTGTCCATATTTCACTATCGACCCTTACATGTTTTGTTATAATCGGTAAAAGAATCGCAGCGGATCGATTTTTGACATATTGAATATATTCCGTTTTTTCAGTGTTATATTTTCTTCCAGAAATTACCGATTCATCAATCTGTACCAAATGATTTTCTCCGCCTAAATAGAATAAAAATTATAACAGACGATCCTCTTCTCAACCTTTGACACAGATCAATGAATAATATCAATTCTTATCAGTTTAATATCACTATCGCTCTGTTTTTCGATAATGACACATAAATAAAAAATGAATCAATAGTAAAGTAATTTTTTTCTGGGTCTCGTAAAGAAAAAGATGATCTGATTTTAGAAACTTCTTCAACTTAAAAAAAAAACATAAAATCAATAATCTTAGTAAATTAAATGACAAATATTTTCCTGTATGAATTTCAGTAAATTTATTTATTCATAAGAATATTTAATGTTTTTCGCATCTAATTGAACATTTTAAAGAGGAACTAAACGGTTTTATGGAGAAAGTATATCGAACTTGTAAGTTTTAGTGTTTCCGTATAGTATGATGGAACCCGTCCACATAATGCGTACTAGTCCTTGTATGTTAATACAATACAATAATGTTATAACAAATATGTTTTAGAAAATATTGGTACCTTAATTCGGTTAATGCGAGTCTTATGGAAGTAAAAAAGTGTTAAAATATTATGTTTTCATGAATTACTGTCAGTTATTAAAAATGAATTGAAGCCAATAATAATATACATTTGTGGACTAAGTTGGTGATTTTTTGAGGAAAATCTGTGCGATCCAACGATTTTTTTGTTTTAGTCTATTCTATTTGATGTAAGCTTTTAAACAAATCAAATAGGAACGCAAAATTCTTGGGGCCGTGAAGTTTACTAGAGCCTAATGTGGATATGTAATAAGATACTCACGCTAATTCCATAATATTTGGGCAAGTTTTTTATTTCTATTTTGAAGTTTTCTGAAGAAAAGTCTCTTTCTAGATAGGCGTATGGGTTTTCTTCAGAATTTTCTACGACGGCTTTGGTTTCAACTTTAACAATTTCTTCAACTAGATGTTGACAATCTTTCTCTACACTCATTTTTTTGTGGTTACAATTTTAATTTAAATAAGTATTAAATCTGTAATTATTGATAGTAGTAGGTAGTAGAGTAGTACGAAAATTAAAGACTATACAGTAGTTAGTACTGAAAAATTACATCCGAAATCAACTCACCACCGACACGAGACACGAGTAAAAAAAATAAAAATAAAAATAAATAAAAAACAAAAAACAACTGCTTTACCGCCGCGGCGGTTTATAATCAACCCTATAGTCCTTTTCAAGTGGCTCCGGTTCAAAGTAAGCGGGTTACAAAACGGTTAGTAACGGTATATCAAATAATGACGTCATTAGAAATGCAATTGAAAACGAACGATTAGAGAAATGTTAAATAAGCCGCTTTCGGACAAGGAACGCTTTTGGGTGCCATAGCTGGAGCACTCCAGAGTTACTCCGAAGTCGAAGTACTTCGTCAGCGTTTTGGCCCATTCGTCTGCCAAGAGCCGCTCTCCAGTATGGGAGTGTGACGCCCGGAGCCACTCTCGGGGCGTTGAGCTCCCGAGCTGTACGTACGCGTCAACCTGTCAGCTGTCACATTCGTGGGTGGCTATTTATTTATTTATTCCTCTTGTTATATCTCAGGCCCTGCGATCTCTCATTGCCAGTTATAAGCCACATAATAATTCTTTTCCGTTTTTCTAGATGGCGCTAACAACCACAGAATTGTCAAAATTGGAAAATACCAGCACATCAAGAACTATATCCGATGTCGATAACATTGACATGAGCTTGACATGTCAACATATGACAATATGCCAAAATATTCATTTGATCATAACTAATAACTCATAATGTTTTTTGTCCGCCGGTCTTGCGTTTCATCTTTCTTTGTGTTGTCAAGTGTTCTTAAGTGATTTCAAAGTTGTTTTGTCTGTTTCAAGAAGAACCTCAAACTTTATAGATTGGAAGATCTATTTTTATCTTTGTTGATTAGATAAATGACAGGATCAATTAAACATCAATCAGAACTTTGAATAAATATGTTAAGGATCCCTTAACCATCGATAAAGAAACTGTCTTTTGATCTAATTAACAAATTATCAATTAATTTAAGCAAACATTAATGCCCCAAAGTCTAGAATAAACGAATTTGAACAGACCGACAATAATGCGAACTGGGTGCCATCTATCATAAAAAGTCCTATGTAAAGTAGGTGTCTGTAGCATCGATGCAAAACCAGTAAATAGTGATTTTCCGATGTGGTAGATGGCGCTGGCTTGGCTCAATTTTGCTGACAACAAAATTTACATTGAGATTCCATTCTCGACAGTTTATATAGTATTTATCTCTGTTATATCTCAAGATTGAACATTTTAAAAAATATAGATTTGATTCTCTTTCATTTATGATAAATAAAAAAACAAACTGCACAAACAAACAGATAATTATTTTTAAATTTTGACACTAAGACAGGCGTCTCACGTCATGATACTGGAACGATACAAATCTAGTGCGTGGCGCCCCCGAGGTGCTCTAGAGCGCGCCAATGTGCATACTGGAAAGCGGCTCTTGTCTGTGGTTTGCCCAGATTTCGCGCTCCGGAGCCGTTCTTTTTTTTCTCGTCCCCGAGAAGTTATGTATGACGTCATTGTGAAACTCCAAAACTTTGAGATGCGAAAAAAACACCTTTGTTTTGTTGTTTATTCAATTATTGATTTTTCAATATTTTCACCAGTGCCGTTACCCCTGCAGATAATAGATATTTATTTTATACAGGGTGTATCAGAAATAGTGTGTCAAAAACTGTAAGGGTGGATATAACTCATCAAAATAAGAAAAAAAACTTCTTGAACAGACGCTCGCACAAAACTATCCAAACTGCAGTCTTGCTACTCTTGCTAAGGCGGTTAGAGGCGGTTACACACGGACGTGGATGTACAAGTGTACAAAGACGCTCGCACAAAACTGCAGTCTTGCTATTCTTGCTACGGTGTTCCGAGTGTGCATACAAAATTGCACATTCAAAAACGCGACGATATTTTGCATACACATTGATGTTTTTGTTTGCACGTTCATGTATGTGCTACAGTGGCTGAATAAACCTTTACATACAGTGGCGACAATAGAGTTCCCGCCGCCATCTTGTTCCCAACCTCTTGTTACTTTCAAATATTAATATATAAGATTTAAATAGACATCTATCATAAAAAATTAAAATCGGCATATTTGATGACCATTATTAGGTTCATCAAATACGTTGTTTTCCATGTTTTATGATGGATGTTCACCTAAATCCTATATATTCATATTTAAAAGGAACAAGAGGTTGGGAACAAGATGGCGGCATTTTCAATATAAACATATGGGATTTTTGAACCAATCAAAAATGAGACCGCAATTGTCGCCACTGTGGTAATAAAGTCACTGTAGTATGTGCGTACCTACATGTTTTCAGACATCAACGTCCGTGGGTGCGTTCAAGGACGGCAATGCTAATGCCAAAACCTACTTTTCGCCCTCCACTGGTAATGCCGAACCACGTAGGTTGGAGCCGAACTCGAACGCAAAATGCCAATATTGGCTTGGCTATAGCCATTCCTGAACGCAGCCCATGTGTAACCGCCACGGATGTGGATGTCTGAAGCGGCTAAAGGAGCGCGCCCACTGGGCCCGCTCAGCCCGGCACAGCACGGCCGGCGCGTCCCGCATTTCCGCAGCCACCGCCCATTGCTTCGGCATGATCAGACCCAAATAGCGTTTAAAACAACTTTGACTATCGAAGTGGTAGGTTCGCGAATAAAAAGAAACTTCTCTCGAAGCATTTTTTCTATGAGTGGTATCGTGGTAATATTTTTCCTTGGATTCATACAACAATACATATGCTCAAATGCTTTCAATCAAAATTTCATCGGACATGATGTCACAAATAAAATGAAACAAAACAACCCAATGCTTTTATGGTCGCAGACACGCGGACCGACCGGCAGTCTTTGCCCTATCGAGATAAGGCTACCATATTATTCTGATAAAAAAACGGGACATTTTTATGAAGCAAAGGTGTCATGTATTTATAGAAAAAATAGCGCCGCAGGCGATTTTTTTTTTTCGGAACCACACCCGTAGGACGAACCCACGAATAATACACACTACTACTACAGGATAGCCTATCCTCATAAGGCCTGTGTACAACAAATCCGAAGCCCCACTAAATCACCATTTGTGACGTAGGTAGCATGTCGTTTCTCGCCTTGACGTAGGCACAGGTTATGATTCCATCTTTCTATTTGCCTATTATGCTTGATCAAAATAAAATAACATTTTTCATCATACATTTAAATTCTAAACTACGACTGCTGGCGCAAACAGCTGACGTCACTGACGACTTAGTTGATGACGTCGGCAATGGTGATACACCAGTATGGTGGGGATTACCCAAAACGAGGCCGATAAACAATCCTTAGTGGTGTGTATGGGCCAAATAACTCGCCAAATTCTAAACTGTCAAATGTCAAATGCTGACGAACAACCACCACGTTGCGATTTGCTAAGACTAGAGATGAGACGCAAAAATCGATTTATTTATGCCACCACAGAGACTGGGTAATGAGATGGGCGAATTATTTTACGCTTTTTGTAATATGGAGAATACGGGACATTTACGCGTCCCGACAACAAATTTGGGGACGCGGGACATGGATCTTGAAATAAGGGACTGTCCCGTATAATACGGGACGTATGGCAGGCTTATATCGATAATACGAGTCGTCGCCGGGCTGAGCGTGCGGTGCCGAGCTGAGCGGTTCTGATTCAGTGGGCACTACTCAATTCGTTTACGAACGTATCAAAATCTGCCGGCCGCGCTGGCCGTGCTGTGCCGGGCTGCGCGGGCGCGCTCCTCAATGTATCAGGCCATCCACGCCCGTGTGTAACCGCCTCTACAGTCTACAGTGTTCCGAGTGTGCATCCAAAATTTCTACCGGTTGCACATTCAAAAACGCGACGGTACCTTTTTGCATACACATGATGTTTTTGTTTGCGCGTTCATGTATGTGCGTACATGTTTTCAGACATCCACGTTCGTGTGTAACCGCCTATCAGTGGCAGAGAGATTTTGAGCCACATAAATTTAGAAATACTTTACACGCTAAACGATAAACTGAGCAAGCGCAGTCTTTGAAAAATAGCGGATGACGTTTAGCCTTTTTTAGTTTTTGAAGCCAAAACTTGTGAAGGACGTTATACGCTAAACGTTAATGAAAATGTGTGGTTAGGATTTTGATTTTGTGTAACTAACATCAAATTTTATGTTGTCTGTTGTTTATGTTAGAATTGTTAGATATTCATTTGTATTTTGTTTTGTGTAATTGTGTACTGCACTTCATGGATAACATTGAAAATATAAAAGGACGTCGAAATGCGGAAAAGATGTTAAAACGTTATCGGTTAATAACGTTCCGTTTATTTCCACATAATTAGCGTAGTACGTTACCGCTTATTAAGCGGACCGGTTATTTTTTCACTATTGCGCATGAGCAAAATAACCGATAACGTATAACCCGTGCGTTCGTTATTTTGGTCTGAGTTCTCCGAGCTTGACTTTACCGTTCGTTTATTTAAAAAGTGTACTCGGTGTATCCTCATTCGCGTTCGTTTATTAAAATTTCCGGCACTTTTATACAGCGTTCCACTGCTCTGTTCGCTCGCTGGTCACGTGATTACGGCTCCGCTCAGCACGCTCTGCTCTTCGAGCAAAATACCGAACGCAAGGAACGTTGATCAAATAGGTGGCTCAAAATCTCTCTACCCGATAATTATCGAATTCTTCCATAATTTTGACTACGATTCAACAATCGATGACAAGCTAATCCAAGGAGAATACAGATCAGTGGAGAATACACACTCTAGAGGAGTGCTTATCGGCCTCGTTTTTGGTAATCGCCGCCATATTGATTTTCAACTGTTTTCAACCAATGCCGACGCACTGATCAGACTGATCTGAAAAATAAATGGATAAACAATCCTACGGCCCGATTGGCTAAAATTGTGCGAAAATTTGCGGTCAATATTCTATGAACAGTTGTGCAACGGAACAGCCTAACCAGGACCGGCTCTAGGTATTTTGCCGCCCTGGGCAATGAGTAAATTTGCCGCCCCATCCCATGGCCTGGCCTCAAAAAATAATTACACGAAACACTAAGGCATAGCATATAGGTACTATATATTATGTAACTTCGGTAACCACAAAAAAAAACTCACATAACAAACAAAGTAAGAGTCAGCCAATCCAAGCTCTTGGCAACAATCAACAGATACATTATGTAGATGTACCCTAATAGCACAGAAACGTTTCAAAAAACTATCCTATCGGACGTCAGAACGTTTTAAAAACGTCAGTGAAAATTACAGAATATCCAAAGGTGCATTTTTATTTGGTGCAATAATGTCACTCCAAACGTCATATAGACGTCGAAAATGAGCGTTTCAAAAATGCTTAAATACGAACGGTTAAAAACGAAAAAGGACGTTTTTCGAAGATCTCTATATGAACATTCACTGGACTTCCTTCCAACACCATCCAATAGACTTATTTTATAGGTAGTGCAAATATCACAG